TCATCCAACTGCCTTTTGGCTTCCAAAGTTTCTCATAAGCAATCTGCTTATTATCTTACTGAGGAATCCCTTGCATGTGAAGAGTTGCTCCTTTCTTGTTGCTTTCAAGATTGTCTTTGGCATTTGACAGTTTGATTATAATGTGTCTGAATGTGAACTCTTTGTGTTCATCCTACTTGGAGTTTGTTGAGATTCTTTGATGTTTATATTTATGTCTTTCATCAAACTTGGGAAGTTTCTGGCTATTATTTCTTTAAATAATTTCAGTTCCTCTTTCTGTCTTCTTCTGGGACTCCCACAATACCTATGTTAGTCTCTTTAAATCCCTTGGAAGTTGCTTCAGCTGAAGGCTGTGGTGTTTGTAACAATGTCAATGAGCGTTGCAGCAGTGGTTGCCTGCCTCTGTGTCTGCCCCTCTGTGATGAGAAGCAGCAATCAGCTGTCAGTACAGAGATCCTTAGTACTTGGAAGACAAGATTCTTATTGCCTACCCTGGCTCCTACAAGCTATCTACAGGCTGCTCCAGGAATGTTGGACAGCTACCTGCTCTTGGTGGGGGGGTGCTAAGAGCTGAAATTGACTGGAATTAACCAAAATTTACCATCCAAGCCTTCCCCTGAATGTTTCAAGCCTTTAATAGACTCCAGAGTTCCAAAATAGTTACATCTGGCAGTTTCTGACAGTGCAATTTTTGTCCATGTGAGGAGATAGATTCCTGGTGCTTCTTGCTCCTCCAGCATCTTCTATACATATTGTATTATACAATTGCTTTTGTTTTTTTTTTTTTTTGCGTTACACGGGCCTCTCACTGTTGTGGCTTCTCCCGTTGCGGAGCACAGGCTCCGGACGCGCAGGCTCAGTGGCCACAGGCCCACAGGCCCACGGGCCCAGCCATTCCGCGGCACGTGGGATCCTCCCGGACCGGGGCACGAACCCGCGTCTCCTTCATTGGCAGGCGGACTCTCAACCACTGTGCCACCAGGGAAGCCCTATACAATTGCTTTTTAAATCAGTTCAGAGAAGAAAAGGAGAAGCAATTTGTATTTATATTGTTTTTATTTACATAATTACCTTCATCAGTGCTTTTCCTGTTTTCATGTAAATTGGAATTATTGCCTGGGGTCTCTTGCTTTCAGCCTGATGAGATTCCTTTGGTAGTTCTTGCAAGGCAAGTCTGCTAGTCACAAATTCTGTTTTTGTTTATCTGGGAATATCTTTATTTTGCCTTCATTTTTTTTTTTTCCCTTGCCTTCATTTTTGAAAGATAGCCTTACTGGATATGCGATTCTTAGTTGACAGTTTTTTCTTTGAGTTCTTTGAATATGTTATCCCACTGCCTTCTGGCCTTCATTGTTTATGATAAGTCAGCTGTTAATGTTATTGGGGTTCTCTTGTAAGTACTGAGTCATTTTTCTCTTGCTGCTTTCAAGATTTTCTCCTTGCCTTTGGCTTTCAGCACTTTTACTTTGTTGTTGTAATATTGCTTTTTATTATTTTTTTAAATTTATATTTTCTTATTGAGATAACATTGGTTTATAACATTAAGTTGCATGTGTACAACCTTACATTTTGACTTCTGTATACATTACAGCATCAGGACTTTTACTTTAATGTGTCCATGTGTGGATCTCTTTGAGATGATCCTGCTTAGAGTTCATTGAGATTCCTGGATGTGTAGATTGTTTTTTTAAAAATTTGGGAAATTTTCAGCCAATATTCTTCAAATATTTTTTCTGCTCCTTTTCTCTCTCCTCTTCTTCTGGTACTCCCATTATACATGTGCTGTTATGCTTAATGGTGTCTTACATTTCTCTGAAACTGTTCATTTTTCTTCATTTTCTTTTCTCTCTGTTCTTTGGATTGCATAATCTCTGTTGATCTATCTCTAAGCTCACTTATTCTCTCTGCCAGTTCAAATATACTGTTTAGCCTCCCAGGTGAATTTTTTCATTTGTTATTGCACTTTTCAACTCCAGAATTTCCATTTGGTTTTTTAAATGCCTTCTTTCTCTTGTCAGTATTCTCTGTTTGATGTGTCATTGTCATCATACCTTTCTTTACTTCTGTAATCATGATTTCCTTTAGTTCTGTGAACATGCTCATAATCCCTACTTTGATGTTTTTGTCTGTTAAATCCAACATCTGGTTGCTCTCACAGGCAGTTTATCTTGCCTGCTTTTATTCTAGTGTATGTGTCATACTATTGTATTTCTTTGCATGTCTCATAACTTTTTGTTGGAAACTAGACATTTTAGATAATAAATGGTTACAAGTCTGAGTATTGGCCTCCAGTGGTGGGGGGTTATTATTGTTATTTGCTTGTTTATTTGTTTAGTGATTGGCTGGATTATATTAGTAAAGTCTATGAACCCCTTACCCTAGTCCCCACAATGTAAAGCCTCTGATGTTGCCCCTAGGGTACAGCCTTGGGTATGTTCACAGCTACCTTGGAATGACAGTGGGTTTGGCAGAGCGCTCTTTATTTATTTAGTTATTTATTTTGGCTGCACTGGGTCTTAGTTGCAGCATGCGGGATCTTTTAGTTGCGGCATGTGGACTTCTTAGTTGCGGCATGCGAATTCTTAGTTGCGGCACGCATGCGGGATCTAGTTCCCGACCCCAGGGATCAAACCCAGACCCCCTGCCTTGGGAGCATGGAGTCTTACCCACCGGACCATCAAGGAAGTCCCTGGCAGAGCTCTCTTGATGCTCCCTTTCCCAGACTTCACCCAGATGTTTTTTGGTTGCCAGCTGATCGCTTTTATTGTTCTCAGTAATGCCCTGGGGCTACATTGCTCCATAGGCGGATCCAATCAAAGCTGAGCTCCTTTGAAGAGGTAGTTCCCAAACTTAGTGTTTGAGATTTTTTTCTGAACCCAGGCCCCCTCCAGCTTCTTGGTTCTTTTAAAGTAGCTGGCGTACAGTTTAGCCTATATCCAATGTACCTAGTACTAATCTCCTCCCAGTTGCCTTTCACCACTACCTCCAGTTTTTGAGAGCACCCTTAGGCTTGAATTCTCCACACTCTGTTCCAAATGAAGTCAGTTCATTAAAGACTTGGTGCTTATTTTATGTCTTGCTTCTACCCCCAGGCAAAATCTGGGAGCACAGCTCCAGAGCTGGCAGTGGGAACAGTAGCTTGCTTGTCTCTCTGAGTGATACCCCCACTTTGGAAGCTCAGAGGGGGTGAGAGGCAGTAGCATCTGGTCTTCTTGGCATGCTTCACCCAGCATGGAAACTTCACTTTATGGTCTGGGGCAAAGGTGATTGGGGTCCCCGTATTTTCAGTGGCCCTGTACCCAAGATAGAGCCTCTATCCTACATGTCTGAGCTGGGCACAAAAAAGAAGCTCCCACCTCTTGGCTGCACTCTCCCAAAGCTTACCGTCACCATCAGGTATTGGGGGCAGGATGAAATATGCTGATGTCCTGCCCCTCCCAGGAAGATTGCCTTCCAACTAGGAGTTAGGGGGAAAGCAGTTTCTTGACTTCACCAGTGTAGTGAAGTTTTTGTCTCACTGAGCTGGAGTGGGGAAGGAGACATTTCACTTTAATTCAGTTCACTGACCCTCATTGTTCTTAGTAGCTTTACTGTTTTTAACTGAGTTTTAGTAGATTTTCTTGAAAAAAAAAAAAAGGGTCCCTATTTGCTGTATGCCCTTATGACCATTTCCAGAGACTTTAAATGGTTGGTTTTTTAAATATTTTCACCAGTTTCACTGAAGAGGGGTCTGCAGAGCTTCTCACGCTGTCATGCTGGATGTGGAACCAATTAGGATTACATTTTGTTTTTATTTTATTATTATTTTAAAATTTAATTTATTTATTTATTTTTGGCTGCATGGGGTCTTCATTGCTGTGCGCGGGCTTTCTCTAGTTGCAGTGAGCGGGGGCTATTCTTCGTTGTGGTGCGTGGGCTTCTCATTGTGGTGGCTTCTCTTGTTGCGGAGCACGGGCTCTAGGTGCACAGTCTTCAGTAGTTGTGGCTCACAGGCTCTAGAGTGCAGGTTCAGTAGTTGTGGCACATGGGCTTAGTTGCTCCATGGCATGTGGGATCTTCCCGGACCAGGGCTCGAACCTGTGTCCCCTGTATTGGCAAGTGGATTCTTAACCACTGTGCCACCAGGGAAGCCCCAGGATTACATTTTAGATTTAGTTGTTATGTCTCCTTTAATCTGGAACAGTTACTGAGTCTGTTTTTCATGACCTTGACGTTTTTGAAGAGTATAGGCCATATGTTTTATAAAATGCCCCTCAGATTGGGTGTGTTTGATGTTTCCTCATGAATAGATCCAGATTATGCATTTTTGGTAGGAATACCACAAAGGTGATGTTGTGTCCTTCTCAGTTCATTGTATCAGGAAGTGCATGACATCTGTTTAACATATTATTAAATGTTATTTCAATTTCAGGCATTTCTTTCAACAGACATACTTTGAGTATCAAATAGTCCGTTTTTTTTTTTTTGATTACTAGTCAGTTTGAATTTTATGTTAATTGGTTGTATTATTTTTTAAATGGCTTTACTGAGTTATCTGTGGGATTGATTTTGTTTTATCAATTCTAATATTTTTTCCCCTTCAATTAATTTATTTTCTCCATTTCATGTGTGTGATATAAAATGGAATGTCTAGGTTTCTGATAAGGATAACAGGTGTTTGGTGGCTTTTTTTTAAATTACTTTTTATTATAGTTACTTTACAATCTAATATTCTAATATTGCTGTGTTTTATTGATTTTAAGAGCTCTTTATACATTAATGGTATTAATTCTTTGGCATGTAGCAAATATTTTCCTTAGTTTATTGTTTGCTCTTTAATTTCTTATGACTATTTTTTGGTATCTTGACATTTAAAATTTTTATGTAAACAGAACTATTAGTATTCTCCCATAAGGTTTCTGCTCTTGGTATCATGCTTAGAATAGCCCTTTTAAGGTTACAGAAATATTTTTTTCTACTATATACTGATTTTTTTTTTTTTTTTAATGTTTCCCAAATAGGTACGTTTGCGGGAGCACATGGGTGAAAAGTATGTGACTTACAATGTGAAAGCTCACCAGTTAAAATTTTTTGAAGATAATGTAAAATTTTGAGAATTTACCTAATCTGCTGCCAGAATGAAACTATTTTCAAACGTTTTTGGCTTAAACAAAAACAAACAAACCTATAATAATGACTGGAGTCCATTCACCATCCTTATATTTTGTTGGGCCTTTTTTTACTAGAAAAAAATTGGACAGAGTAATATGAAGCAAGCTTATTACAAAAGAAAAAAACCTATGGCTATCTTATTCTTTAATGAGGGAAAATCTGTTGTACGACGTTTATTTGGTTACTGTTTACTGAGCCTTAAACCAGCTTGATATCTAGAACTATTTTTTTTAAGGTACTTATTAGCTTGAATACAGGGATATAACATACTGGATTGGAAGTTTTATATTATACTAGAGTGACGAAAGCAATAGGAGAAATAAATGACATATATCCAGTGACACTACTTTTTACTGTTAATAACCTTAAGTAGAAGTTGATAAATTATTTTTTTTATAATTCTGGGAGTAGATTTAAAGATATGGCATTATATATAGTACTTGAGCATTGAATTCCTTTTTTTGCATATTGATGGATGTTTAACATTTTATTTCCATTTAATATGGACCTCATTCAGGGCATACAAGAAATGAAACTAGGAGTTATTTTGGGCTAGTAAATCAATATGTTTTTACATACTGGATTTTTTTTTTCTTTTTAAGATTTATTTTTCCATCAGCGAAAACATTCCTTAAACGCTAATTCCTTTTCTAATTCAGCAGGTTTTAAGTAAAGTCCAGATCCTTTTAGTTATGTTGGACATATTTATCTCCTGAAATTTGTCTTCTTATACATCAAGATATTGTCTTCCCATGTTTTAAATGTAGAATTGTATATCACATATTTTATTAGTTGTTTAATAAGGGGCAATACCATCTAGCAAATAGTTTTTAAAAAATAAAAGTTTTGATTAGTAAATTTTAACTTCTGCATTTGAGGGACTCTAAACATGAATATGACTCCAGAAATATTTTCATTTTTTACAGTTAAAAATATGTCTTACCTTTTATGAAAATTATACACACACATAAAATAATAAAATGTTCCCTTTCTAGTCCACATAAAAGACTTTTATTTAGTTTTTACTATGTGCCAGGTGCTAGGCCCGGGTTCATGGCCTAATTTCTGAAATTTCTTTATTTTGAAGGGTTTTTAACAATTTAACTCTAAAAACATCTAGTCCTAGTGCTCAGCTGAGGACAAATTTTTGGCAAACCATTGGTCTTCCTGAGCTATTTACCATTTCTTGCATGTTTTATAAATCCACATCTTTCTGCAAAGTCATCAGTTCTACTAAAGTTTTCTAACTTATTGGTATAAAGTTATACATATTATTTTCTTAGAATAAAAAAAACTCCATACCTTTTTTATTAACATTCTGTATATATATATATATATATATATATATATATATTTTTTTTTTTTTTTTGCGGTACGCGGGCTTCTGTTGTGGCCTCTCCCGTTGCAGAGCACAGGCTCTGGACGCGCAGGCTCAGCGGCCGTGTCTCACGGGCCCAGCCGCTCCGCGGCATGTGGGATCTTCCCAGACCAGGGCACGAACCCGTGTCCCCTGCATTGGCAGGCGGACTCTCAACGACTGCGCCACCAGGGAAGCCCACTGGGGTGTCATTTTGAGAACATGAGGTGACATGATTTTTAACCCTATTGGGAGCTCTTAACTTTATAATCACATTTATTATACTTATTGATATGCTTGTTCTTGTTTCTGCCATCTTTTATTTTTCTTCCCCTTTTTTAGAATCCTTTCCTGACTTTTGCTATATTAAGGTCTTTGCTCCCTTTTTTTTAAACTCATAGTTTGGAAGTCCTATATCCTGGTATTGAGAAACAGAATATTACCTGTAATAATCCTTCCACTCCCATCCCTCCCACAAGGCCTTTAGAACATTTTTCTCTTCGGCCCTTTGGAAAATTTTAAAGGAATTTACAGTTTTATGGGTTTCCACTTTGAACCACCTTAGGTAAAGCCTGGATTAAATGTTTTCTGCTTGGCAATAGCCTTATTTTAGTGGTACCAAGATACTACTTTACCACAAATTTACATTTGTGGTAAATTTCATAGCTGTAAGATATCACATATGAATCATGCATTGAATAAGATGTTAAATGTATAAAGCAAAAGTTTTTTTATAGGTGCTTTTGCTGTTGTTAAAGAAAAAAAAAAGTATGTTAGGAACTTGTAGCTTCAGAAAAGAGAAATGGTTCTTACACTTTCAGAACCACGAACTTCTAACTTTGGCTTTTACTAGTAGTCATGCTTGCAGAACAATAAACAAAAGACTCTTTAGACATTGAGTTGCACTGTGAGTTTTATTTGAAAACATTAAAACAGCCTGACGACTCATAATGAATTATAAAACTTTGATAGTTAAATTATACTGTCATTTATGAGGCTTTTATTTTTCATTATTTTGTAGACCTGAAAGAAACTTTGCATACTTATGTTTTCTGTTCTCCATTTCAGAGGAAGATTGTGAAGAGAAGGTCTAAAATATTTATAAATCAAAACCCAACAGAAAAGTGAAATATAGAGAGAACAAAATCTGTACACAGCTGAGCACAGGTGTTTTTAGCTCATGTTTTGGATATGAAAACAATTTAGCTCATGTCACACGAAACAAAAGCAGGTGCAGTAGTCAAGCTCAATCATGAAAACCCCAATCAATTATTTTTAGCATGCCTCTTAATTTTTCTTTCCCCTGGTTTCTTGTCTTCTGTGCCTGAGTCTTGAACAGGTAACCACTTGAGGGGGTGCCGGCGATAAATGGGCCACGGAGGAAGTGTCAGCTGGGTCAGAACAGAGAAAACGCCTCATTTATGGCCATTAAAAGTTTAAAAGAGCATTATGGATAATGCCTGGTTCCCAAATGACTCCTATGCTAAAGGTAAAAAAAAATGAAACTGACATTCCTATGAAAACTATGTGCCACCACCCAGACAAGATACCGTAAGTGAGAAGAAGCCTCATTGTTTACACATGGCTTTAAGAGCTAAAAGAAAGGTGAGGAGGGAGCAATATGAAGACCGTAAGGTCTTAAGGTCTAGTTTGACTTTAAGATTACTGCTTGGATCGCCTGCCAAAAGAAATGAGCTTTATGTAACTTAACCTTATCTGATGCTATTTGGCATTTACTTTTCCAGTGATAGGAAGGGAAGGATGAGGTAAACGATGAGGCCGGTTCTCACTACTAGGGCCAACCAAAACAACCCAATTCAGAAAACCTAAGTTGCCACCAACATCCAAGCACCCATAAGTTTCTTACCAAACACGAAAAAGCAAATCCCGCCATAACTATATAGACAGTCCACCCGAACTGTTCAGCCACGTACCCGTAGATAAATCCAACTATCTAGAGACAAAGAAAGTATATTAAATACAGTCAAGCCGGGGTGGGGGTGGGGAGAGACGACTATGCAAAACCAATACTTACTGCAGAAAAAAGAATAATTCCCTGAAACATCTGTTCAGCTAGCTTCTGGCCCTTGTAATCCTAGAGGTGAAGGAGAGCAAAGCAGAAATTGGTTCCACCACCGGAGAGGTACATTCCTGCCCTGGCCTCACAGCTTTGGCACAGGGCGATCCCAATATATGGGACTTCCCCAAGAACTTAAGCAAGGAATGACATTCTGGGTTTCCCGGGGGAATTAAAGCAAACTCACGGAACCCGGGCTGGGGTATCCTCGCGGGGGAAGAGAGAAGGGGACCCAGGAGATTCATTTCGGGGAAGAAAGTAGCCATCCGGGGTAGGAACCGCGGTGCACCGGGTGGGTCTCGGACAAGGGTTGCGGAGCTGCCAGGCTCGCGAGCGGCGTGTAGGAATCTTGGGGCCGAGGCGGGCAGCGCCCTCACCATTTGCGTGGGCAGGGAACTCAGATACTCCAACATGACTGGCTCAGGAGGCGGGCGGCGGAGCGAAGGCAGCCGGGACTCAGGGACAGTAGGGGCCGGGGTCAGCTCCTGCGTACAGCTCTACTGTCTTGTCGAGGCGAGGGTCGCGATGGCCGCGGCCCCGGAAGCGGATGTCTCCCACAAACCTGGTCGGCCCGAGGCCCCTCCCCGTGCCCTCGCTAGGCGACCCGCGCTTTCGGAGCTGGCTGAAGGCCGGCGCCCTCTCTGCAAGGGCCGACATGCTGACGGTGGCGGCCGAGCCGAGGCATCACGCGCCCGTGAAGGGTTTCGCCGTCAGTGCTGTTGGGTGCCGAGGGCCACGGTCCAGGTCCCCCAAACTGTACTTGGCTGTGCCTTCGCGGCTTAACGGCGGCCTGCGCGCGCTCCGTCTCCATGGCGACGGACATTTCTCGACGAGGACCCCAGCGGTGGGGCTGCCCGGCGGCGCCTGCTCTGCGCGACGGTCTTGCGGACCGAGCGGCTAACGGCGGGGGGCTGCGGGACTGCGCGGCGGCCGCGGAGCTAGCGGGCAGGCGGGCTCGGTCCGGAGTGCAGGGGACGCGGGCGGCCCGGCAGCGGGCTGGGCCCCGGGGCCTGCGGTGGGGACGCTGAGCTGGCGGGGCGGGCCGGGGCGTGGGCAGCGGCCCCTCCTCCTCGGGCTGCAGGTAAGGGAGGCCGTGGGGAGCGTCCGAGGGAAACGGCTGCCCTGGGGCCGCGGGGTGGGGGGAACCCCTGGAGCGTCACCCATTGCGAAACACCCCTAAACGTTATTGACCCCCAGAATTTAGAGGGGAGTACCGCAGAACCCATCATCCAGAGAAAGGGAATGCCCTCGGAGAAGGACGGGTTCTGGCCCGCCCCTTCGCACGAGTTGGAGAGAGTTCCCACCCGGGGAGTCTCCAGTTTGTCCCTCCAGGCTGCTTGGCGGCTTCACTGGCGTCCTCACAGACTCAGGCCTCCCGAAAGAGGCCAGCAAAGGTTTCGCACTGCCTCTCAAGGCCAGCGTCTATCTCAGAAGCTTAGGCCCTGCCCCGTTACTCTGAGCAAGGTGGAAGACTCACGTTCCGGAGAGAAACTGTTCTGGGAAACCTGGGCCTGTGGGTCCCAACTGGCTGTCTGGCCTCTGTGCTGTGTTGCGCCTCAGGGTCACAGGCGGTGGGATTCTAGGCAATCCAGGGCAGGCGGTGTGCGGCTGCCGACCTCATGCAGTCAGCAGACATTCCCGGCAGCTTTTTTTGTGCCATGAATTGGGCCAAGGACATGGCCGTGACCAACACCAGGTCCTTGCCTTCCTAGAGCCCAGAGTGTGTCAAAGGAGACAGCTACGTAACCCCACAAATATAAGCCGGATTTACTCTGGGGTAGCGAAGCCTGGGAGATGTGAGAGCTCAGGGGAGATGCAGCTGAATGTGAGGTTTGGGGGAGGCTCCCCTGACTCCTGAAAGCCAAGTAGGAGCTAGGCAGAGAAGAGGTAGAGAAAGTGGATGTATATCCTTAGTGCCTTTTCCACCTTTCAGTCTGGCAGAGACTAAACAGACTTTCCCTCGTATGCAGAAATAGATGTATCCCTCTGTGTTATCCCTCTTTAAATGCACTTCACAGGGTGGCAGTTGCTGCAGATCCTTTATGGTATTTGAGCTATAAAGATAATCATGGGAAAAGGAGATTGCGTGTCAGGTTCAATTTCAGAGACATCTCAATTGGAATCCATGTCTTTCCTTGTGTTTGAATTTGTTTTCATGATTATTATCAAAGATCGTGTTCCCTTTCAGAGCTGAGAACCAGCCTTGCTCCTGGATTAACAAGACCATTCAACAAATATCACATACCTATTACCATTTACCAGACATGGTTTTAGATGGCAAGGATACACGAATAAACACTTTTCACTGGGGTCACTGTTTTCTTAGAGCAGGGAAGACACAAATAAAGAAACAGATCAAATAAATGAGATAATTGAAGATGGGGAGCGGTGAACTTTCTTGATGGCCTCTGAGGGGATGGGTAAGAGGACAGAAAGATGACCTTGGTCTTTTGTGACCTCGACAAAGCCACTTTGAATGGAGAAGTAAGGCCAGAAGTCTGGTTGAAGTAGGATAGAGGACAAGAGGAGAGCAAGTGGAGCTGGGAACTTTAAATCCTTTCAAGCTTTTAGAGTGAGAGTGAACAGAGAAATGGGTCTGTAGGTCTGCTGGGATATGGGAAGTGGTGTCTTTTTTATTTTTATTTTTTAATTAACTGGAAGATACCAGAGCATGATAATTAATGCTGCTAAGTGTGTGATCCAGCAGAGAGGGAAAGAGTGCTGATGCTGCACCAAGGAAACAATTATAGGATAGGTTGCAGAGCATGAGTGGAATGGCCTTCCTTGGGAATATATAGCAGTAGAAAGAAAAGCAGAAAAGGCCACTGAGATGTGGATACTATTGCAGGTAGCTAGCAAGTTAAAAACATGAAGTGTTCTTG